CCCCAAAACCCCAAAACCCCAAAACCCCAAAACCCCAAATCAAGGGATTACCCCTGAATTTAGAAATTTCTAAAATTTTAATGATAAAAATGGAGAGATCACCGCAGAGAAGAAGTTTTGAGGAGACTAAGAAGAGATACAGCAGCTTGAGTGAGTGAAGAAGGGAGAATTGGGGTGGAAGGTTAGGGGTTATGACAAGGGAGTGACATTTTTATAGAGAAGCAGAGACCTTTGGGGATAATAACAAGAGTGGCAGGGCTTCAGTGAGATGTAAGGATTTTGAGAGTGGAGGGATTTTGGGGGGTTGGATTTGGGGGTAGGGGAGAATAGAAGCGGTTTTGTTGGTATTTTTATGAAGGGAATGTGATAACGGGACTGAATAAAAGGAAGAATGGTCCTTTCGTGAAGATCTCTAAGCTCTTTAATAAGCAATCTTGGATATAAATTAAAATGCCTGAACTTTATTCAGAGTTACCCGATTCCTATCACAATCCTTAAATAATTTATTTCTTCAAAGATCTGTTATTTTAGTAGCCCAGAGTCTCTTAATTTGTACAATAAACTATCATTCTCTCACTATTATCTTTAGACAAGACTCCATTGAACAGACCAAAGGTAAATTTACAATTAATTTTGTAGAAAAATGATCAAATAAATAATACTCTTCAAACAAAAGTCCCGTAAGCTCCAAATTTCTCTCTGAGTTTTCTTCCAATGTTTGCCTAAAATCTAAATTTTGACTTCTTTAAAGTCTCTACTTAGCCAAAATAATAATTAGACCTGTCTCGAACCAGAATCAGAACAATTTTTTTGCTTAAAAATGTTAACTTTTGTTTAAAATTTTGAAAATTTAAGATCAACTTTTGTCAACTTCAGAAATGGTCAAAAATGATCCAAATTTAGAAACTCGAGAGGAGATCATCATTATCACAAACCCGAAGTTAAATCAAACCAAGAAATGTTTAGAATCACAAAGCAAAAGAGTAAGTTTTAAGTGAAGGAGGCACCAGGTCTGATCCATCTTCTTCCTAAAGATCTCTTAAAAATTTGGTTAATCTGGGTCCTACTAATTGAGAATTTTGGATGAGTTTTAAAGATAAAGATGGCATTACCTTAGAGGCAAAAGCTACTCTTATCTTCATTATTTCCTGCATTGGTCTCCATTTAGATGGAGTAGTATCATTAAGAAAGGAGTTTATCAAAAGGGCACTTTTATTTTACTTACTTTAAAATTTTGAGACAAGAAATTTCTTTGCAGAAAAATGGCTAGTTTTGAATAATCCCCATTTTTCTTCATCCTTTCCCATACAAACACAAGAGATACTCCTGAGAAGATCTGTGTAATTTTTGCCCAAAGCTTATATTCTGTGAAGAATTATTGTAACCTTCATCAAAGATTCATGCCTTAAAATCTGAGTATCTTAAATCTAGAAATTCAGAATGGCGTAAGCCTCTCCAGTTCTATTATTAATTGGTATATAAAACGTGAGTAGACTGCTCTAGAGGAACTACTCAGTGATAGTTTTAGAGTTTTGGTTGAAGAATTTGATCAAACAATATAAATTGAACAGAGAGAAATAGAATTCCCTCTGTATGATCCCAATTTAATAAGACAGCCATATTCGATTATGTGAACTAGTAGTCATTCTCTAAAGAAGATTTTGTATTTTAAGATATGCAGAGAAATTAACATATTTGGTTTTAATGAAATCCGATAATAGCTTTATTATTTGCTTAAAAATGAATCAGTCTCACCTCTATGAGGCATTTGGAGCCTTAGTTTACCTCAAGATACATTAGATATTTGACTGTCTGGTTACTTTTTACCAAAGAAATTTTAAGTCAAGGTACAAGTTTTAAGCATTTTCCTCAATAAGCAATGATGATGTTTTCTGTACAACAAAAGAGATATGACAAGTTAAGGAACTTTCCCTAATCATAAAACAAGACTTCTTTTAGTTTGGAGTTTACATTGGTCCTTGTACTAGCTCTTTATATATTACAACTTTTATTTATGATTGTGAGAAGAGAGCACAACAAAGATTTTTATTCCTCAAATATTCAATATTCTCTCTATGAATTTCCAAAGCATAATATTTTTACTGTGAGACTGTTAATATCTAAGCTAGCAATCTTATAATGGACTATTTAAAAGCAGAAAGGAAGCCAAAGTAACCACTATATAGCAAAGAGAAAGCCTAGTAGCAATAAATCCTTTTGTAAAAGTTTTAATAAGCCAGCTATAACTAAAAATATGATGGTAAGTATAGTTGCATTCAGAATTCTGGCTTCGTCTTAAACACAATCTAGTACTCTCGCAGATTGAAAGGAATCTTTAATTCTTATCTTAAGAATCCTAAGAACATTGGTCATTCCACTTCCTATGGCCTTCAAGGAAATTCAGCACAAAGAGACTGTAAGTCAGTTTCCTATTCTTGAAATCCTATCTGTAAATTTTAGCTACTCCTAATAAATCTGAGCATCTTGTCCAAACTTATTGGAACCCTAGTACAACTCCACATGGAAGGGGAAGATCGAAGACCTAAAACAAAACAAAATCAAAGCATACTCAATTTTATACAGATAAATGAATCTATAAGACTCTCAAAAGCCCAGCAGAGTATCAACAGAGAGGCTAAATTACTGAAACAAATAAATCAACTTAAAAGTAAAAACAAGGACCTGCATGAAAAGCTTGCTACAGAGAAAGAGAAGTACGAGAGTGTGAAAAACATTCTGAAACTAGTCTGTCAGACTCTCCTTCCTAACAGTACTCATCCACCTCCAACATTATAGACCCCCCTGAGGACTGAGACCAGTCTATCCACACTGAGAGTGACTGCGAAGTTGAAGAGCATAAAAACGACACCCAAAATCTTTTCCATAAGGAATCCTACCAAGGAGACCAAGGTCGTACTAAGACCAAAGGTAACTCTATAACCCCTCTCTAAATCCCCCACTCTCTAGGAGACTACCGCGTCAGAGAGGATGTAATTAAGATAATTCTTGATGAATTCAGTCAGTATTTCTGTAACAGTAAAATTCTTATGATCAAAATAAATGAGAAACATCCTGAATTAAAGCTAAGTAAGAGAGTTTGTTTAGCATGTGTGATATCTGGTGTAGGTGCGAATCAGTTGAAACTTAGCAAAGAGGTAAATAATTTTGGGGCGAGCGTTGAGGGGGGTTATGATGTGGAATGAATGTGTAGGCGATAAGGAAGAGGACTGGGAAGTTTATGAAGAAGAAAAAGGAGAATTTGAATGAAGAGGATAAGATTGATATTGATCCTTTGGAGGGACAGCAAGATGGGATTAATATACCAAACAATCAAGGACAGAATAGTAAGTTAGTCTTGACTAGGAAAGGATATATATTGGTTATGAGGATATGATCTTTGGTTTACGGTTTTATATTGACTTTAGGACCAATCGAACTGCCTTCATCTGATTTTTCAGAACAGCTCTCGAGGTATTCAGGTAGTTGTATCAATTTTTAGAGGCAACACTGGCTCACAGAACAGCAATCTTGGTGTTCCTGTTCCTCAGAATGAGCAAATGAGAAGATTAGAACAGCAATACACTGTGAAAGATAATGATGTAGCCTATTTGCTTAAATCATAGACCGGACAAGCGATTGAATTCAAGAGTTTAATACAAAGAGTATTAACCGTTGTTTCGAATGTCAATTCAAACAGGTCAGAAAACCTCTCATCTCAAAATAAAGAAAATTCAGAACAAAGCTACAAGAGAAAGATCAGAGGTATATCCATATCTCCACCCATAGAAAACCCCAATATCAATAAAAAAGAGACTATAAAATCAGACGAAAGACAAAAAGCCGACAGACACCTTAGAAGATAATAATCCCACTTAACCCCCCAAAAACCTAATCCATCTCAACTTTCTCATTCTACCCCGGGGTTTTGGGGTTTTGGGGTTTTGGGGTTTTGGGG